TCGCTCCTTTCCCAGAGTGAAAGGGGGGTGACACTGGAGTTAGCTATTTTACTCTCTTTTTTGATAAAAATCGCTCCCCTTTTTCTAAGAGTGTACGGAGGACCCACGGCGCGCGTTCTCTGCGCAGAAGATGCGATGGGGTCGACCGACGGTCGCCTCCCGCGTGGAGCCGGGAGTCCGCGAGAGGTCTTTTCGCCCGGCCGAGTCGCGAGCCCGTCCGCGATTCCCGGCCGGGCGATGCCGATCCGTTCGTTCGTCCCGTAGCCGTTGTCGCGATCGAACGAGTCGTGAGATCGCACGCGTTCTTGGGAGCGGGTGCGAAACGCGTCTCGCGGGGACCGGTTCCCGAACGAGCGGTTCCCCGTTCGACATCGGACGGGATCACGCGTCGGCGTTCCGGCCGAATCCGATCTTCCCCGAGGTTAGGGGCCGTCGTCCCTCGCGGCGCGGCGCGCTTCTTGCCGACTACCCGAACCTCTCGATGGACGGAACGGTGCTGCCGCCTTTCGCCCCCTTCTGACACTCTGCCATGCACCCTGCACCCCTGCACCCCTGCACCATTCATTCCATTCGGTACGGGCGATCTCTCGTTCTCTCCCCATCCGTCGAGCGATCGGGTGGACCGTCGGCAACGAATATTTACTTGGAGGAAATAGTACGAGGGTTGCGGTCGGCCCGTCGCTCGGCCCACGAAATCGAAGAATTTGGAAAAAGCCGGAAAAACACGTCGGTGCGGATGATGGCGCCGGCGAACGGCCGCTCTTCCCTCGCGACGTCGCGAGAGAGGAAAAAAAAAAAAGAAACATAAAACTTGGCGCCGGTCATCCCGTAACGGATCTCGGCATCCCATCGCGAACTGCTTCGCGGAGCAGGAAACGACTCAGACGGGCGTTTTGCGACGAATCTTATTTCTGGAGAGATCATACCGTCGTCGACGAAGAGAAATCGTAAAGCGACGGAAGAATACAGAGCCGATATCCTGCGTGGCTTCGTTTTTTTTTTCGAGAATTATCAGTCGTATCGTCGATGTCGATGCCATGTTATGATCGCTGACTCGTTCGAATGGCAGCGGTAGGTGAAATTGCGCATCGAACTTCATTTTCGGTTCACAAACTAGCAGGCAAAAAAAAAAAAACATAATTAAAGCCCTTGGAGATTTTCCTATAGAAGCGCATGCGAAAAGAGAACGATTGGGTTCTGCCAACGAGGAGATGCCATTCGTCCAGAGATGCCGATGGAAAAAAGCATCTTTTCGGTACGGTCGACAGAGCGAGCATCGGACGTTTTCCCAGGGCGTACGGTCGATCGGGTGTTCCACCCGGCACGGCAGGATGAGTTGCACGACCTCGTCGTGAGGAATGTATGAAAAAAATGATGGAAAACTTCTCGCGCCTCCCGTCCCCGTGGAAGGTAGACATCGCAGAGGCCGCGAAGAGGTGAAAAATGCCCGGTCTCGAGGGAACGACGGACGACGGACGCTCGAGCTCGGGACGGTGACGACATCTGGAGGAACGCATCGAAAACGTCATTCGACCCCTCGTGGAACGGATGGCGTGAGGATTCCGCCCCGAGGCAGCTCACCCCCTCGAGGCGGATTTACGAAGAGCAGAAAACGGAAACGGAAACGGAAACGGATAACGGCCGGCCGGAAGCAGGACCTCCGTCGGCGGAAGGCGCGAAACTCCCGTTTGGGCAAAATCGACCGTTCGGTCGGATCGCTGCAACCGGACGGAAGAGGAAAAATATGGCCGAGGAGAAGTGAATCGTGGAGGCACGGAGGCAGCCGTTCCCGTACGGCACGAGACATGAAGAGCATAAGGACCGGGTAACGCAGGAGAATCCGTCGAAAAATATCGGGAAGAGTTTCCTCGTTCGGGTGAGTACAGGTTCGAGAGCTCGGGCAGTTCACTGCAAAATCTAACTCTAGTCGTTCCGTCCGATCTTGCCAGAACGAGTCACCTTGCCTCGTTCGAAACGTCCATTTTTGCGACGATCGGCTCGCGACGATTAAAGAGACCTCGTTTTCGTTTCGTTTCGTTTGGGGGATGATCGACTTACAATGACTCGCGTAGCCCGGTTTTCGTTACATTTCCGTCTCGTGGCTTCGCAGAACAACGACGGGAATAGCACCAACAGGAATAACGTAGACGAGGAAATGCTCATACAAGGGACAGAGATGACACGGACTTGTGAGGATGCAGTAAGGGCCGGACGCCGTTTTTGGAAATGCAGGTTCAGGATAAAACAAAAAAAAGTGAAGCGAACTGGCTCCACTTAAAATAACCTGGGCATTTTGGCGGCTTCATCTTGAATTGCGATAGACTCTGAAAATTCATTTTGCAAATGATCTCAGCTATTTGAATCTTTGAAGGGCTGGTTCGTGGAACCGGCCAGGAACGACAGACCGGCTTACGTAAGAACGACGGAACGAATCCGGCGTGGAAAGTGCATGCCTCGTGCGGAGACCGACGAGGGAGGCAGTACTTGCTGGAGTACTCTCAGCCGCACCGAGAGAAATTCCGCGGCAAGGATGCAGCAAGGGGATCAAACAGTCACGTACGAACGAAGAAGCTTTCTTCGGACCTTTTCCGGAAAACGTGCCACACGTCAGCGTTTAATGTCGGTTCGATGTGGGCTTCCCGCGTTGGCCCGACGAGGAGCCACAGGACAGGCCTACGAGAAACCAACGTCGGTTCCCAACGTGGGGCCCACATCCCAACACGGGCTCAACGTTTGCCTGACGAGGGTGTGCTGCATGGGCGGGGATGCACGATTCTTTTCGCTTGGCACCGAATTCAAGTCTCTCGAAGCGATATCGAGTTCGATAATTAGAACCTATAGCAATTGATGGAAATTTCTATTCGTTGGAATCGAGACTTGGAAACAACTCGATAACATGGATTTTCTCACAGGGTCATACCCGTGTTGGGCTGCTGGTTTCTCTTCGAGACGCAGCAAAATTCCGTTCATTCTCTGAGAAAAAGTGGACCATGGACATTAAAAAAAAAGAGCAGGTGTTACTGGGAGATTCAATGGCAAGTTATCGAAGTGAGAGAATTAATTAATCAAGTAATTTAATTTCCAGTGACGGGAAACCATAAACGAGATCCTTGGCTCTTTAGCCACTTCTGCTCCGTTGGCTCTTCCTTTTTTTCTCTTTTTACCTCTCTTCCAAGTACTCGACATTTCTGTGTGTGTGTGTGTGGGGGGGGGGGGGGGGATTTTGGGATCTACCAGAATGGGGGGGGGGGGGGGGGGGGGGGGGGGGGGGGGGGAGATTTTGGGATCTACCAGAATGACAAGCGCAGGAAATTTCCTTCTGTCGGTGAACTTGTGTGTGAATGCCTCAACGCTCCCGTGGCTCAATGTTCGATGGGGGTCCTCGGTTGATGCTGCAGCGCTTGAAATAAGAAGCATGAATACGAAAAGCGCGAGAGCTTGAGAAAGCTCATGCACGTTTGTAGGCTTCTAAAGCTGGTTTCATCCCCGTACTCTGCTCGAGACGAACTTTTTCGCAGTTTGCAGCGATTCATGCATGCTGCAAGTACTGGACATCGAAAGAGTTCGCGAAGGGCTTCGTAACGCTTCTGCAACGCCTCGGTCAGAATACGAGCGTGGCCACTGAAGCGCAGCTTTCAATAAATGCGCGAGGGATATAATATCTCTTGTAGGACATGTCGTTGCTTCTACGGCATGATTCGAGCTCTAGGAAGATGTGTGCATCTGAGAGCATCAGACATCGAGTGTAGCACCGCACGATTTAGCTTCTGAAATTGTTTCTTCGACTCGAAACTCCACTCGACATTGCTGCCGATGCAAGAAAAGATGACTGAACGTTCGCCAACAGAGTACGAAAACGAAAAATGAAGTTTTTGGCACTATGCCCAATATTTATATTTTATGGTACTCCTGTAATACCATTACTCTCTGTTTACCTCCCTCTTCTGCTTTCGCCTTTCAGTACTGGGAAGTAAAAGCGTAAAAAATATGCGTAGACGGCATTTATTGAGAAAGCCTTGCGAGAGGAGTAACAGCGTATTAATATTTAAAGGTGCCGTACCCGGAAGTTTTCACGAAAGACGCTAATAACATTCTTTCCTAAAACTCATATAATGAAATTAGTACATGGAGCGCATAAGAAATAATGGTCAGGCCTTATCGCCGTGAGACGATAAGGCCTCCCCCCCCCCTCCTTTCAGTTCATCTATCGTCCCATGTGCCGAATTTGACGGATGGTTGATTCGTGGGTATCCAATCCATTCGACTCAGGCTCTCCGAATCCGGCACGCCATAAATACCTTTTAGCTTCTCCATCAGGGCCTTCTTCTCCTTCACGGGGAGAAAACTTGCCATGGCTGCATTGAAATTCTGCAAATATCGGAAATCCCATTAGAATGTGTACGTTCGTCAACGCGCAATCCACGAGTCAACCAGAAAATTTGGGCGGGGTCAAACCCAGTAGACTCAATCTGGTAATGAGAATGTTGTAACCCAGAAGATACCGGTGGATTCTCTGCGTTATCCTGAACCTATCAAGCTATAGAGTTTGCCAAAAGACCAGTGTGTTTCGAACACATGGGAAAATCTGAGGAGCTGCCAGATGAAAAACCTCCAAAATTACACAAGTGGCCGCACCTATCGCTAAAAAAAATAGTTGACTTTTCACGCAGAAAGAACGTTCTCTGACTTATTTTTTCGTGACAGAGCGCGAGAACGATGTCTACGAAAGCGAATTCACCCATTATATCAGCAAGAGCAAGGTTGCGAGGTGTCATCTGTGCCTGAAATGCAATCGATGCGGGTGTGACCGTGACGGGGTACCGATTGAGCCGAAATTGACTCGAAAGAGAGGCCGGACGGCTTCAGATAGAAAGGCCAGTGAGAAGAGGCAGCGTTGGGAGCAAGTAGCAGAAAGTTGCACAAGCGAGGAGCTTTTAATGAAGCGACACAGGAGGACGCAACCCCTTTTGGTAGGAGTGCCAGTGGTAGCAACCCTCAGAGAAAAGGGGCAGGAGACTTATTCCCAACCTGTTCGACTTCTCGTGAACGTGGCCGAGTTGCTTGATACACTAGGTTTGAGACATATAAAGGATTATACGTACAAGAAGCTCCCTTCCCAGCAATTTTGGTTGGAACGTAGCAACTGGAAGAATAAGGAGACCTCGGGATTGGCAGCAATGCTGAACATGACAGTGCTGAGGGCTAGTTGAAAAAAAATTTTTTCGGGGGAAGTGTGGCCACCCTCCTCGGGTCCTCAACTTTGAAACCCCATGTCTCTTAAATTGACTATGGCCCAACAGAAATAATATCATTTTTGGAATCAGCAAATCGCGGACTGAACGAATATCCCTTTTTCGGTCTTTGATTCAGATTTCCGGATTTAATTGTCTCAGGGGTGACCCCACCAGATCATTTGATTTTGTTTTGGTTGACTCGTAGATCGCGCGTTAAATATTGAGTTCCACAGCGGACTACAGCCAAAACGACGTACGGCTCGGGCGAGATGAGCCTCGGTGAGGCCCCAGTCGACCAGAAGGTCATATTCTTCCTGAAGACTTGCCATCGTCACCGTCGGGTCATCGCGGCTGATGGAGAAATTCGCACCGTCCTCGGCGAACCTAAGCCAAAATGCTTTCACGGAGCACTCCAAAGAATTTCCATCGATCCCTTTTCTCGATCGTGTACCGACCTGACGATGGGGTGCTTGGCCGTAGCGAGGGGAACGGCGCCCGTGAGGCACGACGAATGAGGGCAGGTCTCGAAATGCACCCCACTCAGAAGACATTTCTGGTAGATCTTCGAATCCTTCAACACGTTGTACCCGTGCCCGATCCTCTCGGCGTGGAGCACGTCCAGCGCCTCACCAACAGAAAGACTCTTCTTTATATTACGATATTCGTACTTGTAAGAAATTCAATGTTCTCGTCTTAGAATAAATGGGTTTTTGGATATCTGATCCTTCTTCTGTACTGTTTTTACAATCCCTAACAAAAAAGTTTTACCTCGATCTCAGATTTATAATTAATATACCCCTCTTCCACCCCTGTTTTATCTGCTTTTTCCCTCATATTTTTTTTCGGCCCATCTTGACCTCTCTTTCCAATCGCATGATACCCTGCCTCCCCGAGGGCAACTTTTCCGAGAGGAAAGAGCACCAAATCTCCCTCCAGTGTCGCATTTCCTTTACTTCTGGAATAGAATGGAATGTAGAACTGAGTATACCATGGAACCATTTAATTCTCTGATCCTCTTTATCGAAGGAGCTATCCTCCTCAGAGAGTTTGCCATTGGGTAAGTCGGGGGAATATTATTTCAACTTTGATGAAGTGCACAACTAATTTTAGACGGGGTAGAAATGAAAAAAGAATGAAATAATTCTCCCTTCACTCATTGAAATAACAAGATCAGGCATGTTTTTAACTATAAATAAGCTATTGTCAAAAGATGGAAAAAAAAAGATAACTTGGGTCACATTCCCCCAAACTGGGGGAAATAAGACCATATCACTGTGAGAAATCTGACCTCATCGCTACTTTATAAAACACATTGGGTGTATACATTGCTGCTAGTCCTCATCTCCTCCATTACAGTCAACTTGATATAATGCCCGTTTTGCTGCGAAGTGCAGCAAATACAGTTCTGCAACCTAGTCTCAAAAAGTTTCCCATTAGTTCATAAGAAATTGCAGTTCCATAGTGTTCCGCTTGGCGGAGGGCCCACGAACCAATCAAAACCAGAGGTGAGAAAATGACTGAGAATAAACTTTTCTCTCTCTTGTAGTTTTTTCCTGAAGGCAAATGATCAAGTCAAGATGATAGAGGTGATTGCTGGCTTTTTAGTCAGATTTTACCCCTCTCCATTTCAACTTAGCCCAAAGATGCAAAACTTCGGTAAAACGGAGGGGAAAGCAGGTAAATTAGGGGGTAACGTTTCGTGAGGGACGTGTTACTGACATTCACATTATTAATTTTTTCACTATTAACTCTCGGATAATTTATTTCAAAATGTTATTACGATGTGAGTGTCAAGCACTGTAGAAAGGCGAAAGGAAAAAGCAGGCGCATCTTCAGGAATGAGTGCGTCGTAAACATTACAGTCCTCATAATTAGTTAAAGCATGCCTCTTCCATGGCTTTGACATGATATAAACAGTTTCTACTCCTTAAAGATGTTCTTCTTCACTGCCGTAGATCATGTGGATACGTCTAAATGGAACTCTGAGAAAATAGCCTCTGCAATTTTCAGTAGTCTTCCATTTTGGAGTGTGTGTGTGTGCGTGTTTGTGAGGGGGAAGGAGACTTCGGTGGGGTAAGTGATGGACCTTCCCCTCTTACTCCTCTGGTGACCTAAGAAATTTCTAGTGAACGGTACTGACCTTCTGAACCATTTGAGGAGGCCCGACTTCGCCAGCATGGACGGTCCGATGGATTCCCTTCTGCTTCGCCTGTTGAAAGGCCCAAACGTCTTCCTCGTCCAACATGGCCTCTTCTGCAGGGACATTTCAAATTCACATTCCAATCGTGGGGACTTCGTACAGGGAACTAGCTATACGACAGGGAGAAGTCGGCAGGGATGCGAAGCAGACCTTCGGTTTTGCCCTTCGAGGTTTTCCCGACTTCGTCTCCGGCGATGTCGATTCCCACCACGCTATGGGAAAACTCTTCGCACAGCTCCAGGATGTCACGCGACCACTCTATAAAACGATCAATTTCCTTCATTTCTTCAACTCTGTCTCATCGAGATACATCCAGCAGAGCCATCCAACCCGTCATAAAGAATTCTACCCATGGAGGACGCGAGCAGGAAATGGACCGTCTCCAATTGTGAAGGGACGTGAAACTGGTTTCTCTGTGAAGCTCGCAGGAAATGGTTTTCGCGTATTTCCAGTTACATGTTCCTTATATTAGCAATCCTACAACTTACCTTGCAGTCCTACACGTAAAGCAGTTTTATTCAATCAATCCAGGAATGCGATGCCACAGCATCCTCGTATAGAGACTCACACGCAACTGGATATTGGCACTTCATGACCTTTTTCTCATTTAGTGTCTTTACCATTGACGGTCGAGTCAGAACACAAAATCGCAGCCGTGTTAAATCCAACATGACATCCCATCAATTTTACCGCGGTGTTCAAACGTTCACGGCGAAGGTTGCAGTTCAAACCCCACATCTCCAGGACCTCCGCGGGAACTCTGGAGAACTGTGGTTGCCAAACCTGACATTTCCAAGGTGGCGAAACTTAAGCCCGAATCCTGAAATCTCCTTTAGTTATCGGTCCTTTAAAAATACATGGATTTCTATGGAAAAAAAGAGCTCTTAACTTAGAGGCCCCTTAACCTTCCCTAATTGAGGTTTGTGCATTCGGGCCTTACTGTCTTTCAGAGCGTTTACTTCCCCATGCTCAACTATGGTTACGAACTATGTGTAATGACCGAAAGAACGAGGTCGTGGATAACAAGCTTCTTCGACGAGGTTCTTGAGGCCGGTGTCACGCCGAGTGACATGATCCGGAATGCCGCCATCCGTGTTAGCCTCAAGGTCTCGGAGTTACGGCGTTCGGATGAAGAGATTTCAGGCCCGTTCCTTCCGACACGTCTCCTGCATGCCTTTCGAGAGACTCCCAAAGGGTCTCTCGGGAGATCCTATCGAGACCGGCAAAATCTTAATACTGTTACGGTGGGGGAATGAGAGACGGGACGACGGAAGGCATAAGAGGCCTGAAAGAAAGCCAGGGAATGGCGGGGACTTGAACCCGGGCCTCCTAATTGCCGGTCAGGTGTGCTACCACTACCTCACCGAACCTGGGACATTCGGTGTGCCTATCTCGATGCCATCCTCATCCGTCACAATGCAATCTTAAACGACCGGCGAAAGACCAGTCGGCCTCATGCATGGTGGACGGATCTCATCGCGAATCTTAGTCACGAGAGGCTCGGAATACCACCGGTCGAGCTCGAGTCCGTCGCCCAGGACCGCGAAGACCGGAAGATGCTCCTGAACTTGCTCGAGCCGAGACCCTGTTTAATAGGGATAAGCGGCTTCGAAGATGGATGCATGTATTAACGAACTAAGAGGAAAAAACCAAGAAACTGCAAAACGTGTTGGCCAAAAATGGGATCATGGCGAACCGTTCTTCGTTCAGAATTTCAACGATTGGATAATCAGCTCATCGAACCTCAAAAGGGATGCATCCATCAATTTCCAAGCGAGGGCAGTCTAGAGGAACCATTATTTGTAACCCTATGGGAAAATGATCATATTTAATATTACCAACACCGAAATGCAAATGGTTGCAAGCAGGAGTACGGGCGAATTTTGCCCGTACTCCTGCTTGCAACCATTCCCGAAAGTGTCATATCGAAACAAATACAAAACTCATCCTCGATCACACGATTCAGCATATCGTGACGACATCGCTTCCCACCTTTCGCCGTGTGAATAAAAATAGAAGCTTTTCGCTTTCGAGAGTTCGAGACTAAACCGCTCTCATCTTAGATCAATTTAACACACCCCAAAAATGGAACCATACAAGCATCGAGAAAGTGGAGCTGGGATGAGTCAGACGTTACGCAATGCACCCCGGAATTTATGAGGAGTAACTAAAACTCCGCCGATAAAGCATTCCATGATATTGCACGAGCGTCAGACGCTCGCATGGGGCATCCAGTGTCTTTGACTACTCTTCCCGACGAAGCCACTTCAACTTCCGGTGAACGATCATACACCTCGAAGAAGGAACCAAGCTAAGATGGTGATCGTGATCGGTTTACCAGGCATTCCCCTGATGCAGGCGAGGATGGAGCGTGCCTTCACGCCGGTCTCCTCCTCTCCGCGCTGGAAACCCCGATTCACGGCTCTCACCACGTCTCGAACCGTCGGGTATTTGTCCTGTCCCTCCAGCCGGATCCTACGCATTAGAGAATGCAAGAGTTCAAAAACCACTGACATTGCGATCAACAACTCAACCCCGGCACACTCATAAAAAGGTGAGCTAACAAGTGAAACTATGGGTGGATTTTTGAACAGGGCATTATCCGATGATGCAGCTTTATTTCAGAGAAAATGCATTATAAGGGTGAATTTTTGAACAGAGAACTATCCGATAATGCTGCTTTATTTCCAGGAAATATCACGTATTTTCCGTGGGAATAAAGCTGCATTATCGAATGATTCTCTGTTCAAAAATCCACCCTAAATCTTGTATATCCATCATGCATCGAGTGGTGATGAAGGACCGCGTTAGAGCGAGCGATCCTGCCTCCAAAGAGCACATTCAAGAGTAGAGTGTTGAAACTCGATGAGGGTACTCACTCGTTGTGTTCGGGGACGAAACCCGGATCGAGCTTGAGGAGATGATCGTTGCTGTGCTTCTGCAAGAGGAGGAAAGGGCAATAGCGGACCTCACAATAGCAAACCCCTTGCCTGGCCTCGTCCTCCACGAATTCAAATGCCATCCTTTCGATTGCGTCCACATCGTCTCTGCAATGATAATCTTACTTGAAATGTGACATCTTCCGGTGTTCGTCATCGGGCATTCGAGAGCGCAGTGATATTCTCTAAGCCAGCGTTTCCCAAACTGTGGGTCGCGTACATTTTTCCAGAATAAAAAGTCGCTACTTCCGCATCCGCTCGGGATAAAACACGCCCTGCAGCAAAGTTCGATCAATATTCTTCGTCAAAATTACTTTTGAAAATACCTCGTTCTGGATTTCGGTGGGTCGCGATTCAAAGCCTGGGAACCACTGCTCTAAGCGAAGCGATTCTCACGCGACATTAATTTCTCGGCAGGTCTTCACCGTAGCGTGCACGAGGAAGAAGCGAAAGATGATGGCTCGCGAGATGATCATCCGCGAAAAAAATTCGTGCACGGTACAACATGAGGGGAAATTCCTATAAGGCATACCGTGAAGAGAACCGTGTCTATGACACCTGAAACTGTCGTAAACGGGAACACGTTTCTGAATATGAACTTCAACGATCTCTTTCCCGCATGTCCACCCGCACGGTACAATTCTCGTGCAATCCTCGTCAAGACACCGAATAGACGCTACCCAAGATCGATTCAATCCTGAGTTTCGTGTTGTCGCAGATAAGAAATGCGACGGTGGAAACTTGTAGAAGTAAAATACCTGCTCCTCTGCTATTTTTTTTTACACTATTCAAAGTACAAGATATCGACTGTTACATTGTACTTGGCGATTTCGTGAGACACGACGCCTCCTCGTTAAGTCCTTGGTACATCCCAGGCACCACACCCACGTTGGGCCCCTGTTGGTTTGTCCCGAGGCCCCACGTAGAGCCAACATCAGTCTCCACGTTGGACCAACGTTAAACGCTGACGTGGGGCATGACTTTCAGACCCTTAAAAGAGACCTCCTATAAGTTTCGACATTTATACACGATTGCTTTGCCCCTCTACAGGAGACCTTGCCGCCGAGTCGATTCGGTCTGGCTGAGAGTACTCGAGGGAATACTACCTCCTTTCGTTGTGTCTTTCCGAGACATTCACTTTCCACACGTGATTGTCATGCAAATAATTATGAGCGATCGAGATTAAGAGTGATCACTCTTAATCACACCAGGGACCATACACCCCCTAAAGAGGAACCAGATCCAGTCGCACGATCGACGAATCAGCCTTCAAATCATCCTCACCCCATCGTGTCAGAGCCCTAGTTGAACCATCCTTCCTTCGCAATTGTCAGGATTATCTCTGGACTGCTTAACTTATTTTTTTTTTTAATGCGTCGCCTTCATAACATCGAAGCCCAGGAAAATGAACCCTTTTCACGGTTAGCAAGTTTGGATGCAAGTTGCGAAAAGTGGATGGTGCCAAAAGACTCGCGATTTCAATATTACTGTCAACATTTTCCTGAGTCTCGGGTCGACATTCGACATTAATATGCCTAAGTAGTGGCGTGTCTTAAGCATGAAAGGGAGGGGAAGAAGGGGGAGGGGAAAGAGAGGATGAAATGCTGCACATGTCTTACTCTCAATATCCAATGGAGGTGTCGCATTTCAGTTTAGCTTCTCCCTCCTTCATCTTCTCTTCGAGGAGCTTTTTATTTTCATTATGGAAGAGCTCCACGACTAGACTCAAAGTTTTTCACTCTCTCAACAAAGCTTATCCCTAATTTCTTTCTATCGGTAAAAAATTTTTCGTCGACGAGAGCAGTTCTGTCCAGGAGACGGACTGACAGTCTGTAAGATAGCGCTTATAATTTCACCGCGTATCTCGGAAAATATTAACTTTTACTGCAAGTGGCCGAGGGATATGATTTCACGAAACACTTCGAGTACTAATATAACGCAGGAACAGATCGTGCCAACTCTTTTTGACATTCGCGCGAAGTTACCCCAACAAGCAACATCATGTGTTGTGTTCAGTGTGTTGTGAGAAGAGCTTTAATTTTCACAGTTTTCACTTGCTTCATCTCAACTGCGAATGTACAGCTGAGGTAATTAAGGAATCGATGTGTTTCGAGGCGACTTTGTTCACGAAAGGATTACGTTAAACTCAAATCGCTCTCTTTCGTGCATGATGCATAAAATCGGGGAATTGAAGAAAGTTTAGATTGGGAATCAGAGCACTCCACGGGTGTGATTTCGGTGGATGGATGTGTACGTGGAGATGAAAATTGGACCTTATCTGGTGCACCTGCCTTAGTAACTGAATTTCAGACTGCTGGTTCGGGAAACGACGTCCCCCTGGGACTATACTGGGCTACAGTGAATTTCATCGGCCGAACGTGAGGACGTGCCGTCATTTTGGTCTCCGTTCGATGGACTGAAGTCTACTCGAATGAGCATATTTGAAAGTGCTCGAAAATAATTACGAGTTATAACGAACGATAGTAAAATGTCTCACGATGAACCGTCAAAATTATGCGTCTGAGAGGTGTCCAAGATATCGCAATAATCATTTTCGCTCCGACAGAAAATCGTCTATGTTCACCGATACCCGTTAGTAGACGTACGTATTTTAACGGTTTTTTTTTCTAGCATCTGTGGGAATTTTAAGTGTTCGACCTTACATGGGAAAATATTAGAAAATGATAATAAAAAGAGCAATGATTTAGGTTGAATTTTTGAACAGAGAACTATCCGATAATGCAGCTTTATTCCAGAGAAAATACGTGATATTTCCTGGAAATAAAGCTGCATTATCGGATAGTTCTCTGTTCAAAAATCCACCCTTAGTTTTAAAACAGGTTATCTTGAAAGAGTTTGCTGCATCGGAGTGAACGATTTCGGATGATCAGTCGTGAATAAAAATATACACGATGGTATATACACACCAGTATGCGCCTCCGAGCTGAAGGCACTCGAAGTTGGTTCGAACACGGTTCTCGCTCCCCTGTTCACCCGACCCAAAGGTCAAGTGAAACAGATAATCCATCAAGGAAATCTCATTTTTCACTCTTCTATCTCGCACAATGAATTCCTTTCAATTTCTTTTTTAAATATCCTTTCTTTCACAGAATTAGAATATTTCGTGGAGGAAGGGTTATCATGCTTTTCCACATCTGCATGCTCGATACCGTGCTCCGTTCCTCGCCTATGCGTCGTGGAGTCGACTAAAGTGCTCGCGAACTAAAGTTTCCTCGGTACCGGCAATCCCTGTTCCCAGTTTGGAACTCCCCAGGAACTGGGGAGTTCCAAACGGATGCCATTTGAGACTTGCCACGGATGAACGTCGGCTAGAGAAAATGAGATGCATTTCGAAAAGATGACTAGTTGCATTCCATTCCTCGTCTTCGCGTCCTCGATGAGCATGCAAGCCGCACAATCTGTTCGGTGCACCGCAGTCTCGTGGCACCGGATCGAGTAGATTTCAGTGGATTTCTGCGGCGAGAAACAGAGCCTTCCGTAGCGAAATGTTTCCCGCGTGTGAATTTCGGACCGCGTGTTCGATGTGCGAACGTGTGCCTGGCGTGTTTCTCATCCCCGTCACACGCGATACAGTGGAACGCGATCCATCTCGCATCTGCTCCACGTCTCGATCCCAGGAGAAAAAACAGTTAGAATTTTGCACTTTGGAACTGCTGCCCATACAAAACGTTACCCCCTCGTTCGTCCAAATTTAACTGCTTTTTCCCTTAATCTTTACTGAAGGGTCTTCTGACAGGTTGAAAGAGGAGAGAAAACTTTTTTTTTTTTTACCTCAGTTTCACGGTCCAAATTTTACTTCAGGTAAACAATTTTCGTAAGGGTGTGGATCCCCCTGAACGACGTTAAAAAAAAAACTTAAAAAAAAAACTACGTTTCGACTGCGAAAGTCGTGCGGGTAGAGGATGTATCGATGCGAATCACGAGTGGTGAACATCTTAATTTTGGCCTGGAAGCTGAAAGACTTTAGGAAAACCGCAGGGTTAGTATCAGATGGAAGATGATCGTGAAGAAAACTTCGATTTCGTCAAAATGGAAGCGTATCTCGAAAGTTCCGTCGCTCGTCGGACGGATCAGCGACTCGAATCGTAGCAGAGAAGGGATCGTCGAGTGATATCCGTACCGGTCAAATATCTTTGGCTCGTTTTTATTTAGAATAACGTCGATCGACTCGAGTTCGCTTCCAAAAAAGACGATCGATACATTTACCGACGAGGATGGATAAGGGATGGACAGGAAGGAAAGCGCTATATCGTCTGCTTTTCCAGGTTTTCGCAAAACAGCAGGAATCCGCAAGAAACATTCTCGACGTCACTGTCGACTCGAAAAACTTCTGTCTCCAAAAGTTCGATTTACTGCCACGTGTATCGAAGCGAGAAAGACGATCGATTTCACGCTGCGCAAGAATGACTGCAATGACAAACGCTTTTCGAGAAGTAATCCTTTGGGAAGACCTACCGTTCGCGAGCTATAGCTCGAACGACGAGATCCTTTAAAGTGTACTCGTGGAGATACGAGAACGGTTTACCGTAACGAACGAAACTCGGTTAATCGGTGACGTCGGGGTAGGAAGAAAAAAAGAGAACCGAATCGTGAGTCTACGTCCGAGCGTCGACTGGTGGTCGTCGGATGGTGGCAATTTTCACGGAAAGATGAGCACTTAGATTTTGCTTTCGGGAAAAAAAACTCATTCGTACTGAAGGACGTCCGAGGACTCACGTAACGGCGGGCATGAAGATGGAGAACTTGGAGAGAAGATGATTCAGGTCCTTCGGCTGGTGTATGGTCAATGCGTCGATGAGGGCTTCCAAGGATCCATTCCCAGGCAGCGCTAATCTCTTCGTCCTCGAAGCGAAGCAAGACCGATGTTAAAGCGTTCGTGCCGATCGGAACGAAAATCACAGGGAAGAGTTCGCATCGCGAAAAAAAAACATTTGAAAAAAAAAAATCACCGTCGCTCCATTAAACTCGTCTCGTACTGCCCGTGGATTTACACGCTGAAGCACCTCGAAGATACAGTATGAGATCTAGCGAGTGCGCTCGCTCGAAATTACGTTCTTCGTTCTTCGAACGAAGATCGTCGGCAACGGGCAATGACTTCATCTGCCATTCTCATGGGTACTATGGGGAAATGGCAGATATTGCGATCGGTCTGTCGCTTTTTCTTCATTCTGTCAGTCCGCAGTACCCATTGCGACCGTACAACTCGACTCGGTGCTCATGTGTGGCTTTCCGTCGCGGTGCCGATCTACGACTAAAACATCCACTTCCCTTCTAGCCCTCGCGGATGATGGATCCATACAGTTGCGTGGCCAAGGGGGGGGGAGGGGGTTTGGGGGTCATAACCTCCCCTTGGGTTCGATTCTCACAATTTTTTTTAATTTGGCCACAAATACAGGGTGGGTTATCAGTTTTTTCATGTTAACCCCCCCCCCCCCATTAGGGTGGGTATTCAGTGTTTCATATGGCAACACACCCCCTTCGGATTTCCTGGGCACGCTACTGGATCCATACATGGATTCACAGTGGCTGCTCGCGTCCGCATAGACAGGGTTGCTGAGCGTACGCATGAAATGCAAATGAAATCTAGTTGGAATGCCATGGATGGCGATGCCGGCATTTCGACCGACACGATCCGAACACGAATATCGTTTTCTACCCAGGAGGGAAGGATGATAATAATAAAAATTCATGATAGCAGGCCTCCGAGACGAGAGAATATATTTCGTGGCGGATATCGAGTTCGTACTTTCACGTGTTCGAAGAATAGTGATGCCGAAAGAAAAGGTGTTTTAGTTCAGGATTTTATATTTAGGGAATGCGGGAGGACGTAGACCTATTGAACACGGCGTTTCTGCTCGATCCTACTAGTACGAGTGCTTCGAAAGGAGTCCCGCCCGGTGAGAAACGAAAACGTTCATTGTTTAAAAATGCTTCAAAATGAAGTCGCTCGGAGTCCCTCGGGACCCGGAACGGATCTATTCGAACGTGAAAACAATCAAGCTACGCATGCATAAACGTAAACTCACTTGAGAAGCTCCCATATGGTGGTGTGCCTTATGGCTCCTTCCAGGTGACAATGAAGTTCGATCTGCGAACCAAGATTGCCGTTATGACTAACATGGAATCTGCATCGAAGAGATCGACATGGGAGCATTTTACATGCAATCGAGGTGCTCTCGAGAAGCGTCTCTACGATGAACTAAACTCGACGAACGAGGGTCGGTCGGTAAACTCCTGCGACGAAACCGTTTCGCCTTCGTTTCTGCAGGTACGAACACGAAAGCTACTCCGCATTCTCGACGCGATCTTCGCGCAAAAAAAAAAGCACTTTTGCAATCTCTCTTTCCACTTTTAAGGAGAGTCACATATGGCATCCTAGGTAGCCGAGACTGGCCTTCCTGGCCTGGAGTCATTCAGATATCGGCGGCCATCTTTCGAACGACGCACAAGCTCGGAAACGGTTCCATAAGAAGCACTCTCATCCCCTCATCCACCACCGATTCACTATCGATGTCCTACGTAGAGAAGTTTCGCAATCGACAAAACTTTCTTGCGCGCACGAATATCTTCTGTTCGTCGCCGGAAGGAGTCACTTGTCAGTAGATGTTTCTGTAAACTCTGTAAACTATTGTTTCTCGGAGGGAAAGAAATACATCTACAATTACGTTCGCATGAAAAATTCCGAGAATGGAATGGGGCGTCAAAAATGTGCATTAATCTTGACTTATCCTAATGACCCTGGAGTTCATCAGTTGCCGGAACTCATCGACTGACCCTCGTAAATTCGCACGACTCGGTGCTATCAGCAACAGTATCAGAGCCGAGTATCAGGGATTTTCACTGTATTAAAAATCTGTGTTCCCGATGGAAATCGTTGGGAGGCTATTTTCATGAGAGGGCCTCTCTAACTAGCTTGACGATGGGGATCCTTAATGCTACGGCGATGAAGATCACCGTGAAACCTCGTGAAAGACTCACCCTTCCCTTAGGCACGGACGACCGAGAGGTCATTCGATTCCGCGGAATGGAAGCCATCATCCCACGTCGCCGAGTCGATCGCGTCTCCTGCCGTCACGCAGGGGGAAGCTCGTAGGACGATCCCATCGCGAAGCGTCAGTCTCGATCGCGTTCGGACACCGAGATGTAAACAGGAGGCTCCGCTTTCGTGCGTCTGCATTCGGTGAAAGGGATCGCGATGACGCAACTCCCTCGCGAGGCGATCGCATCGGGCATTCTCTTTTATGCCGCGTGTAATTGGCGACTTGCAGCTTCCACTTTCTCGAAGCAGGTTTCGACGACCTTCTTCCGACCTCCCCGAGCCGTGGAAACTGGTTTCTTTTCTCGGATCCCACGGCTTCGTTCGTGCCTTGCTCTCGTTTCCTACGCCCGGCCGTGTGCACACTTCACGATTGCGAAAAATAATCCATAGAAATGACGATGAAAACCAACAATAAGAAAGGAAACCGGCAGGTTCATCCGAGAGTGGGAGACGGACGAGAATTTAAGGGAACACGTGCCGTCACGCTAGAGCATCGGTGTCCGATAGATTTCGATGCTCGCCAAACTTGTGGCGATCAGGTATTCGCACCGTATTCGCCACGATACAAAATATATGCAAAACGTAAATTTCGAATATTGTTTCGAAATTAGAAGAAAAATATAAGTGACGAAGAGCGTCGATTCGCCACCTGTCTGAGGCCAATTCGCCACATGTGGCGGGTGGCGAACGTATTGGACATCATGGTGTTAGAGCGTGCCGAAATGACTACAAGTTAGACGGATTTTGGAGACACATCTGCGCGGTCATCCACGAGAACCCAGAGGAGCCGCTCCGGAATCCGTAGGAACAGCCCCGTCCCGTTCGCACCACCGACGACATTGGTGTCTTGCAATAATGCTCATACGGTCGTTCTCCGACTAGGAATCGGGAAGGATACGGGCGAGGATCGGTTTCGTTCCCGAATATCCCTTCGTATTCAATGTCGAGGCAAAAAAATTCCATGCAACGAAACGGCCTCTAAAAGCCAAAATATACATTTTCCTCTCAGTTAAATCGACGAGAAGCTAAAAAACGACGGCGACCGCGAGGATTGAAAGAGGACTCGAAAGGACCTTTGTGTTCGCCTCTCCCATCTACGACGATTACTCCCTGCTCGCAGCCCAGTGATGTTTAGCGTAAATGTTGTCGACGGAGGAAGAGGCTACTCTTGCGCTGCGTGCTTGCTCGATGTCTGCAACGTCGGTGCAGCGAAAGTTTAAGACGACTCACGAGAAAGAATCCACCGAAGAAGTTTAAGGAAATCGGATGAATCGACTGAAATATAAAATTCGACCGACACACGTCGAAGGAATTTTCCTTCTTGCAAATGCTTCTCGAACGGTTTCCGGAGTTTCTCGGCAGGTGGTAGAGACCCGAATCTCCCCGTCCTTCGCGGATCCGGTCTCCTTCCACTATTTATTCCAGCTCATCGTGTTTTAGAAAGGGGATTCTTCTCGTCGAGACACGAATGACGTCGTTTGTATGACTTTTTCGATGGAGTGAACGCGGCCGAGACCACTCGGCACATTGGAGTCCACCGGAATCGCACTTCCGAGCCAGCCGACCCACGCGCATCCAAATTCTCTGCGAAGTTTCGCAACTCCTTCCGAAGTTCGACGAGATACCGCTTCTGAAAATCGGCGGCTCCGAGCGAATCGATTTTCTCCCGACGACCGAAACGAAGCGATCGGTGTTCATCCGTCCGCGATCGAGGGAACGGCGAGGAACAGGCGAGCACCGTGGCCCTCATCCGTGCGTAGGAGTTACCTCACGGATTCGTCCTCGGTCGAGAACTGAGCGCGTCGATTCCGAAACGCTCGCAAGGGAGAAGTCGGCAATGCGATCCGCTCGATCTCCGACACCGACGACAAGCAAAATCGACCCACCGGCAGAAAGTCGATAGAAACGAAACGCGACCTCATCGGTGGGCATACCCAAAGACCTTATACTAAGAAGACTGGGCACTCGTTGGCGGCACCTTTGATGTCGGGGAAACCTCCTGCCCTGGTGTTTGGCCCGGAACTACGCAGAACTGACCAATGGGATCATTGGATTGGAATGTCGCGTGAAATATGGCTGCCTCTGGATGCAAGTACTGCTGTACCTCTTCACAATTTTCTCATTTCAACTCCCTCTATTGTTGCTACTACACAGAAAAGCAGCTAAAATTCGCTGATTAAATGACCCAATGCATTCAGAAGGTTGCGTCAGATATCAAAGTGGGCTATGCCCCGATTCATGACTCGCCCAGTTAGATCGAGTCACAACTGAATGCGCCCACTAAGAAGACTGGGAACTCTGTGGCGGCGCCTTTGATGTCGGGGAAACCTCCTGCCCTGGTGTTTGGTCCCGGAACTACGCAGAACTGACCAATGGGGTCATTGGATTGGAATGTCGCGTGAAATATGGCTGCCTCTGGATGCAAGTACTGCGCCTACATACCATGCCAGGAGAAATTTGGCCAAATGGATGGAGATTTTCCTTTGCATCGGTTTCCCATGGATCCGGAAAGGCACGCGCATGTGTTCGCCTAGGGCTTTGCACTAGGCCTATAGTCATGGCTTTACATATATGTAACAGGCGAATGAAGTAAAATGCTGAGTAACCTCAATAACCCTAACGAAAAGGTCAACATTTTCGCGTCTCGGGTTGACAGGCCTGTTAGAATGGGATGGCTTCAATTTTGAAGGGACAAAAACAGGCTGTGGATAATAATCTTGCAGGTTCGCTTTGGATTTACAGCCGTACTAGAGCGGCCGCTACGCTGCCCGAGTAATAGATTAAAAGTACACCAATATTTTTATGGCCTAGAATGGCATAGCCTTGCGTGTTAGGCCGCAGGTGGGTGACAGCCATTCACTACCGCTTTCCGCCTCTTTCAATTTTTATAGCCTAGCCTCCTATGGCCCAGAATGGCAGAGCCTTGAAGGCCTGGCGCTTTAGGCCTTGGATGGCCTGGAATGGCTTAGCATCGTAGGCCTCGCGCGTTAGGAGTGACGGCCGCCACAACGTTCGGTCTCTTCCAATTAAAGTATTAGATATCAGGCTAGATTAGATGTTCTTGAGGTCCATTTGGGTTACAGCTGGCTTCTACTCGCACACATNATTAAAGTATTAGATATCAGGCTAGATTAGATGTTCTTGAGGTCCATTTGGGTTACAGCTGGCTTCTACTCGCACACATTGTTGCTGGCAGCTAAGCCAAAATGTTCTCGGCAAAAGATGAGATTGCCATTGGGATTCAGAGATCTCCAGTTCATGAAAATAATGCAGTTCGTAAATTAGCAAAAAAATAAACTGATTCCTTGTTACATAGGTAACCTACGCAGGATGCATCGTCTTGCAATTCTGTCTGAATTCAAGAATCCTAGCCCCCCGGGGAGATTCTCCGAACATTGTTTTCCCCACTCCTCTTCGTGGTTTTCCGCCAGACACGTCAGTCCCGCGCAATAGGAATGACGTCAGACTTCGGGCGCGAATTCGTTCAAGAGACACTAGCGCTCTGCTCCAGGAAGCGTTGACGTTAGTTCGAGGGCCACCAGGACATAGACCGCCATTGCGGTTACCCTGCTTTCGCGCAGTGTCCAATCTTCTTAGTATAAGGTCTTTCGGTCCCCCTCCCCCCTGCCGGTCCGTGGACCACAGGGTATAAAAGGCCGCCGCACAAAAAAATATAAAACAAAAATAAAAAATAAAAAATGAAATAAAATGAAATAAAAATGAATAAAAATGAAAAATCAAAATAAAAAAACTATAAAACAAGAAAAACCACCCCCACAATGACCATGCCG